TCAGATGGTGACTGTAAATCATGGTTTACACTTGGAAGGGGTGGAAAGGCAGGATATCTAATCCCAGGAGGGGGATGCTGAGTCTCTGAGAGGGACATGTTCTGCTGCAGAGCCATCAGCTAGATAAGAGCAACCTTGGAGGCTGCAGATGTCCAGCAGATCCTGACAGGAGCATACCCAAGTTGGCAGACCTGCTGAGCCATGCCAAGGATGTGGGTGGTACCTACAAGCCTGGCCCTGTTGGCACAGGGAGAGTGATACTAAGCCCAGTGTGGGACACCATGACAAAGCACAGCTGGCCCACCTAAAGCACCCTTTGACCTGCCAACCCTGGCACATCTCTCCATGCCTTCTCTCTGCTTTGAAGGGGAAAGCAACAAGGAAAAAATGATCCCCATCTCCATAGCTGCAGGAGGGCTCCTTGCGGTGCCTGGTCGGTACCTCTCTCTGCATGCATCTGCCTATCTTCAGGGGCTTTTGGTTTTTCCATCCTAAAAAAGCCTTTTCCTCTTCCTCAAAAGAGACCTCTCTGCACAAGGCAACCTCAGTCCTAACTGAGATGCTGACCATGGGTCCAGCCACAGAAGGCACCGAGATGTGGTGCTGATCCAGGCTGACTTTGTCCTTCCATGAGCAGGGAGGATGTCTGCAGAGCCTGCCTCCTAGAGAGGAGCAGAGCTGAAGCATCTCTGCAGCTGAAGACCTGAACCAGCCTTTTGTGGCCTCGGGCAGGTAGGTTTCCCAGGCAGGCTGAGTGATGAACAGGGTGATGCTTCTGATCTTTAGGTAGCTGTGTTCTGTATCTCCAAGTGCTACAGCAGTGATGGGTCTGGGTCAGGCTGTTACTGGCTGCAGGAAAATAGTCCCAAAGTGAGACAACACAAAGAGTTGAAAGTCATTCAAGTAGAAGAAACAACCAGAGATTTCTGCTTTCTCTAAGATATCTGCTACACCCTCCCTGACCTGCCTCTATTGACAGTTTGTCAATGACTCAGACTCCCACACCTTCCCACGGGAGGGATTCTCCTCCCCTCTCCTTCTGGCCCTATCTCCCAACTGCTCTGGCTCTCCCAAGGTCTCCATTCCACCAATTATTCTTCCTCCTGAAATGATTTTCATCTTTTTTTATTTAAACAGGGCTTTCCTCCCCTCCACCTTTTCTCTTCCTCTTCCCTGGGCTTGAGGTTTCCTGATTTGACATCTTGCAGGGTGGTTCAGCTGCAGCTGCTTAAATTATGGGGCTTCAATTTTGATCTATATACTGTGGATGGAAAAAATTTAAAAAAAAGGAAGGGCTTTCTTCCAGTTTAGTGTTAAATCAATGACTTTTATTAAAAGGGATCTTCTCCTGTGAGTGATTTCTCTGCATTTAAAAGCAGGAGAAAAGAAACATAAATGCCACGATGAAGCAAGAAGACCAAACTTGAGCAAATGGCTTGGGCAGCAGCTCAGCTCTTGAAACATTGTTTACCCAGTCTCAGAAAAGGAAGAAAAAAATGCCTTTTTTTTTTTTTTTTCCCACAAGCAGGGCTGTTTTGAGGCTGCATGTGAGACTGAAGTCATAATCTGGAGCTCTGTGCAGCTCTGCACAGCAGTCAAGACGTGGTGTCAGGATGGAGATCTGCACTAAGACCTTGCAGAGGGCAGGAGCCCTTTGGTTTCCTCCTGTTGTGCCTCTATGGCTGTGTGAGCAGGTAGACAAAGGTGTTGTCTGTGCTTCCTACCACCTCAGCCCAGGAAAACAAAGTTTGGAGCCAGGTCCTGATTAAGGACCGGGTGCAGTGCTAGAACTGGGTTTCCATGGTGACCATGGGATGCTGCAGATGGGTTTGGTGCCTTCCTTGGGCTTGACAGCCCTGGGAAACACTCTGTGAGTCGAGAGGTGGAAGCACCTTTGAGTGCTGGTGAAGGCAAAGCACATGTTCCAGCTCTTACCTTGCCCTTCAGCTGTCCCAAAGAGGGGAAAGGAGGATGAGATGTTCCCATCCAGTGCCCCTGACTATGATGTGGAGAGATGCCATGTGAAAGCTTCAGAGCTGAGATCCTTCAGCAAAGGTCCTTCCTTACATCCTTTCTTCAACCTCTGGATCCCTCCTGGACCAGGGACCAGGATGGAAGCCTCCTTTCCCCCCCAAAAAAAAGCCTTTATTGAAAAGCAGTGATGGCACCCATGGGATGTCAGAGACTGGTCACAAGCAGGGAGTCTGATGAGGCCATGTCATTTTAGGCACAGTTGCCTCCATCCCCAAGGAGGGGGAGACGTGCATGGGCTGAGGAGAGATGATGGCACACAGAGGACTTGTCGTGGAGGAGAGAGGCCAGAGCACTGTCTGGATAACCTCAGCTCATTTGCCTGCTTTGCAAAACAAATTACCAGACCTGTTCCTGGAGCACAGTACCTATCTTTGAAGCATCCTTGGCCTTCGTTTTATCATCCCAAACAACATTAAATGCTTGTTGGGGAGGCATCTTATCAGGTGCATCTACTTGGAAAGGCTTGAAAGGCTCTTGTCACGCTTTTCTTCACGTGTGCTTTGAAAACTCCCCATCGCCTGGAGAATCCCCCCAGCTGGGAAATCACAGAATGTTTGGGGTTGGGAGGGATGTGGTAGGAAGGGAGGTGGGCAGAGCTGGTGCCTGCAGTGGAGCAGGCACTGGCTCAGCAGCAGGACCGGCCGTGCTGCTCTGCAGGAGCTGCCTCCCTGCGGTGCCAAACGCTGCTGAAGGGGCAGGGGAGGAGGGGGGGAAGCCACAGCAGCACAAGGGAGACAGCACTGGAGGCAGAATCGGGTTTTCTTGGCTTCCAGGCTCAAAGCTGATCACCCAACCCACAGTGTGGTGGGATGAACCTCAGCGCTCTGCTGCATCAGCTTCCCCGTGCCCAAACTGAAAGGGTGGCTGGAGCTGGGGGGGACAGAGCTGCCACGGCCACGCTGGGATCGCTCAGCATCAGACACCCTCAGAGCTCCAGAGGACCCTTCGCTGCCTCCACCCTGGGTCAGCCGAGTGCAGCAAGAGGAGGGACAAACAACTGCTGCGCCCCACCTCGGGGACCACAGCACAGAGGCAGGGCCCCTCCATGTGGGGTGGGGGCCAGCAGAAAGGCAGCAGCCCTGGGCTGGGCCACGGTGGGGGTTCCAAGCCAGCCACGTGCAGCAGGGAGCCGCGGGACGGGTCTCTGCAAACAGGGCGATGGCCTTAGAGGAGCAGAAAGTCTGGGAGCTGGGATAGAGGCTCGGAATGAACTTGGCTCTGGATCCACGGCAGCGTGCCGTGGGGGGCGTTGCACCAAGGCATCTCCACGCAGAAGGCAAGCTGAATGCTGCTGTCAGCCTGCCATGCAGACTCCCCACGGGCGCTGCAAGCCAAGCCAGCTTTCTCACTGTCTCCCACGGCCCCCCAGCTGCAAGCGTGAAACCAAGCTGGTGAATAGTTCTGCTGATGCACAGTAGAGAAAATCCTGTTCTCTCCTCCTGGGGCAGACTGGCAGGGCTAATGGGAGGAAGAGGCTGTGACAACTTGATTTTGTGGCTGAAGTCAGCAGTTCTGGCTCCTGGGACACATGGGAACAGGCAGGGAGCAGGAGCCACTTCTGCACAGTCACTTCTCGGAGGCGAGCAGGGCTTCAAAGGAAAAATCCTTAGCAGGATGTCGCAACTTGGGAGGAGGAGGAAAAAAAAAAACAAGCAAACAAAAAAACCCACAAGCTCTGTAGGGCTGGGAAATGCCAAGTCAAGGAATGAGGTTTCCAAAAAGCCTTTGCTCGGTCCTCGCATCTGGGCAGCAACGTGAGCTGACGCCGGCGACTCCCGGGACGTTCGAGCTCGGTGTGGTCAGTGGGTGCAAGCATGAGTTTTGCTGTCCACAGCAGGGGATCTCCCAGCTCCCTGGCAGGATGGAGCTGCACTGGTAGCAGCGTCACTTAAAGCGGGTGCCAGCAGGCACAGGGAGGAGAGAGGCTCAGCGCCACACACGCTGGCACAGGCACAGAAGGAGGAGCTGAGATCAGCCTGACCGAGCTGTGTGGGTCTGTCTTAAGACCCCTCAGGAATCCAGGGGCTGGGGCGTGGGTGAGCACGCACACGTGCAGGGCATGGTGTGTTGGGTTACTGGGATGTGCAGGATGGACCATCGTGCCCACCTGCTCGGCAGGGAGATGCCAAGAGCTCGTGGGATACTTGCCCCTATCAGGGGTACCTCCCCTTTCCCCCTGTTGCCCACTACTCAGCATGCAGTTCCTTCTGCTGAGCATGGGATGATGGAAAGTGCAGTCACCTCCACGCTGGGCCAGTCTTTTCCAGGCCAGCAAAGACCTCACGGCCACATTCACAAGCCAGGCTGGTGGAGGAGGTGCCCAGCGTGCGTGGCTTTGTCCATGGCAGGCTCCTGACTCTGCCCTCCCCACTTCAAGCCCTGCTCGACTCCCAAGTGATGGGAAACCTGGCAGCTCCCAGAGCCCATCCTTGTCTGCTGGGGGCTGGGGGAACTAAAAGCAGGCTGCAGGAGGGAAGTGGTTTGGAGGGCAGTTTGTCGGCAATGAGCACACAGCCACGCTGCGGGAGCTGTGTGGCAGCTGGAGCTGGCAGCTGAGCCCCGTCCTGCTTGTTTTGGCTGACTTCAGAGACCTCTGGCTTCTCCTAGTAGCACTTGGATGTGCCGGTACTCAGGAGACCTGACCGGGCACATTCAGACAACGCCGAAAATATCTTCTTTGCAGGCAATAGAGGCAAAGGGGAGCCAGCAGCTGGGCTCCCCGGGAGACAGGGGACCGGGCTGCAGAGGGACGGTTCCTTTGCTCGGGCTTGCTCTCTGCCTGCCTCCTGAAGAGCCACCACAGGGGCACATGTAAGGCGACCCCGGGTGGGCAGCAGACCTCAGCTGTGGGGAGGATGAGAGACTGGTTCTCCTCACTGTCTGCAGGGCAAGGTGTTCCAGGTGAACGTGGGGTCGTGACCCTCCAGCCCTTCCCTCCTAACGAGTCGCGCCGGCTCTCGCGGCAGGTACCTGGCAAAGCTGTCTTCAGTGGGGAGCATCTCCGAGGAGGAGACCTGTGAGAAGCTGAAGGGCTTGATCCAGCGCCAGGTGCAGATGTGCAAGAGAAACCTGGAGGTGATGGACTCGGTGCGGCGCGGAGCCCAGCTGGCCATCGAGGAGTGCCAGTACCAGTTCCGCAACCGCCGCTGGAACTGCTCCACGCTGGACACCCTGCCCGTCTTCGGCAAGGTGGTCACACAAGGTGAGCTGGGGGGCTGCTGCTCGGGGGGATGGCCACAGCACCGGCCTGCTGGGCTGCAGATGGGTTTTGCTGACTTGCCCCTGAGCCAGCAACTGGGGAGAGAAGGGAATGGCCCGGTGTCGGATGTTGGGGCTGATGGGTCTTCCCTGGGCTCTCTTGACTGGATTTGGGGCAGCACGTCCAGACTCCAGCTCCTCGTATCTAGCTCTTCAGCTGCTGGGCGCTTCTCCTCCCAAACCTCCACCCAATGGGTGCCTGTTGTGTGGAGGCACCAGCTCAGGGCATCCAGGGAGCCCGGACCTCTTAAAAGGACATGGCAAATTTGAGCAGGGGCCTTAAGGTCGCCCTGTGGTCTAACCCCTTCCCTGCCAAGCCCAGGAGCTTCTCTCCGCAGAGCCAGGGTTCCATTTATTCAGTCTGTTCTCCAGGCAGCACACAGCAGTGACCACAGCTCAGAGCTGGGGAGGAGGACAGCCCTCTGCCACTCGAGGGGAGTAGAACAGCCCTCTGCCAGTTGAGGGGAGTAGAACAGCCCCTGGACCCTCTGAGGGCAGCACCCTCGCCCACCACCACCCAGCTGCCAACCTTCAGGGCCAAATTATGGCCAGGGCAGCCCCCAGCACCTTCTGATCCCAGTTGCACACCGACATCCTAGAGGCACAGGGCTGTCATGAAACCAAGGAAGGACCCAGAGCATTGGGGTGAGGAGATGGGGGGAAAGCCCCTCTGCAACCCCTGGAGACTGCCAAAGTGACCCTGGCGTGCCCTCAGGTGCTGCTGCCATGTCTGATGCACCCTCTCATTTCCCATCCCGGGACCCACAGACCAAAGCCTCCCCCCAGCTCCTTGTTTGACTTTCCTCCCCTCAATGCAGGGGTGAAGATCTCTTCTTGTGAAGGTTCAGGGACTGGAAATACCAGAAATACCAGAAACTAAAAGTCGTCTCTTTTTAGGCAGCCACAGCACAAACCCAACCAACACGATCCTACTATTAACCTCGATTAACTTGGAGGCGGTTCAGTCCCCGCGCTGGCCCAGCCACTGCCAGCTGGGCCACCAAAGTCTGGGCTGCGACCACCAAAGTAGCTGCCCTCTGTCCGACTGGCAAGCCAGGGCCATGTCTGCTCACAAGCCATCCCCCCTCTACACCAGGCATGGGATTACCCCCAGGGCCAGCCCTCCGTGCTGGGAGATGGAGTGGCCGTGTCCTCAGCCAGCCTTGGGGGACGGTGGGATTCGGGTGTTGCAAGAGCAGAGCCCTGGCCGTGCCACCCTGGGTGTTTACACCCAGGGATGTCCCCTGACCTTCCAAACCTCATCCTAACCGTGTGGCACCAGAGAGGTAGATGCCAGAGCCGCAGAGGGGCTGCACCCTGGAGAGCAGCATGGTTTTGCAGGGCCCTTTGGGAGCAGAGTGGGGCTTTACAGGGCAGCGTGGGAGGTGCTGGGAGCTACAGGAGCCTGTGTGAGAGGATGGCAAACCCCCTGCAGCTGCATTCCCTGGGTCTGGAAAGCACCCAGCTATTTTGGGTGCAGGAGGGGTTTCATGGCAGAGGTGCCCTGTGAGCACCAGGCAGGACAGTCTCTCCATGGCAGCTCCTGAGACCTCTCCCCGTTGCATTGCCCTCATTGCCAGGTTAGAACCTGCCCGCTGCATTCCTGTTTCTAACCTCGTGGGGCAGTCCCCAGCTCCTCGCTGCCGTGAGACGGGGCTCCCGCTGCTGCCAGCGAGCCCTCAGTGCCCAGCTCTCTGCTGAGACCGCTCCAGGCTTGGCACCACACAGACCACGGCCCCGGGAGCAGGGAGGGTGAGGGTCCTGCTGGGGGTACCCCACCCTGGGAGGAAGAGACGGAGCAGAGGGCTCGACTTGACAGCTCTGCACAGCACCTTTTGCTGAGAGCCAGTTTTCAGAGCAGCTTTTCAAGGGGGTTTAACGTGCCACCCCAGAGGAGCAGAGCCATGCACAACAGCCCACCAAGGGCCTTGGGCCAGGCGGCTACATCCCCTCCAGAAAGGCCCCCTGAAATGCTGGGGTTTGAACCCTGAGCCCCCGAATTAAGGTTGCCATATGGGTGATTCCCACAGCCCTTCATACAGAGGTGGTGAGTTTGCCTTAGAGCTTCCCCCCACGGTGCGGCCG